CAGCCTTTCATTGAAGCCCCAGATACAAAGAAACACCACACAGATAATTGCCGTCATTACTTGGGTGCAATGCTAGGACACATTAGTGGGTTATTTCCAAAAGTGACTGCTTTAATGTCAGACATTGTTTAATGGGAGCCATGCCAAGACTCTGTATGGCTGCTTCTCTCGAGGAGAGTGTATTAGGCCTCACCATTCTTTCTAATGAAAGTGGGAAAATGTGACCACTGTTAAAAAAAGGACGAGAAAACACTACCTTTCAAACACCAACTGCCTTTGAACGCTCTGTTTTCTTTAATCTGATGTGACCATTCATACACACACACACACACACACACACACACACACACACACACACACACACACACACACACACACACACACACACACACACACACACACACACCATCCAATCTCCAGGCATAGCTGCCATGTGTATTCCTGATTAAAGGTGACATATTGTGTGTGTGTGTGTGTGTGTGTGTGTGTGTGTGTGTGTGTGTGTGTGTGTGTGTGTGTGTGTGTGTGTGTGTGTGTGTGTGTGTGTGTGTGTGTGTGTGTGTGTGTGTGTGTGTGTGTGTGGAACATAATACACTCAAACCCATTCATTTCCTATGGCGGTCAATTCTGACTGAAAACATTGTGGGTGTTTCACTGTTGAATAAATCACTAAATGCAAGTGGTGATCATCAAGTGTATGCTCAGAGGCCTAGTGTGGAGGATAACATAAGGTCTTGAGGCAAGTGGATGAATAACACAATATTTATGATCAAAAACAAAGTCACTCGGTCACTTTTGACCCGAAACGCAAGAGTAGGGTAAAGTAGATTTGTTTGAAAAAGTTTTTTTGGCTGTAAATGAACTCTACCAGACCAGGGAGAATGTGATGTGAACTGATAAGAGAGGGAGATGTCAGAAATAAAGAGCTTCACATACATACTCAAATACTGTACTTTGAGCATGATATTAGACTTGATACTTAAATGAGATAAAATCAAAAATATGCTTTTCTTCAAACATTCCAGTCAGAATTGTTCCATTAATTGTTATTCCTGTACTAATGCAAACTAGAGTAAGAGACATGGCAGTAGTCTAGCAGCAGCCACAGTGTTTCCTCACACTCTTCCCCCTCAATAGGCCTCTGTTCTCACTGTGCATCTCTAATGTGCTCTGAGTTGTCCAAACACTTCTTTACAAGCCGGTCTAACGTTACACTCCTAATGCTTTTCTAATGGCGTCTTGTCCTTAATCCATGAAATCGGTGGAAAAAGTTTAAAGGGGATTTTGTTTCAGGATTTGCATGCCAGCACAAACAGGACATTTCTTTAAAAGTGCACGAGCGAGCGTTTATTCTGTTACTAATTTGGGTGCAGAATGACCGTATCAGAGCTTTGTTCTAGAAATGTTTTACCTTGCTTCTCATCAATGGTTTTACGTTAAGCGATAATTATGTGGAAGTGGCTTTGTGGGTATTTCCCTCTTCATTAGAGCTCAGGGCTGTCGGTGGTCATGTGTGGTTTCTCTCCAGAGGTGGGAAGTAGTGGAGTACAAATACTTCGTTACTGTACTTAAGTACATTTTTCTGGTATCAGTACTTTACTCCACTACATATTTTTCTGACGACTTTTTACTTTTACTTCTTACATGTTGAACACAAATACCTGTACTTTCTACTTCTTACATGTTGAACACAAATACCTGTACTTTCTACTTCTTACATGTTGAACACAAATACCTGTACTTTCTACTTCTTACATGTTGAACACAAATACCTGTACTTTCTACTTCTTACATGTTGAACACAAATACCTGTACTTTCTACTTCTTACATGTTGAACACAAATACCTGTACTTTCTACTTCTTACATGTTGAACACAAATACCTGAACTTTCTACTTCTCACATTTTCCAAACAGGCTGGTTCCTTTAGTTTGAATGTGTGTTTGGTGGCGTGATCATTATTATTTAGAGTCATTGCGTGCCTCATTTCCTGGTCTTCTCTAAAGAAGAGGGACCAATGAAAACGTTGTCATGTTGCCGTTGGTCACCATGGAA